CCTTCAGGGCGGTTGGGACTCGCTGTCTGTTGCTCGCTGCCTGTTTAAAGCGCTGCCCCGGCTCCCTCGCCTCCCTAGTAAAACCTATGGAAAGATAAACCGGCTGGGCTCTCTTTCCTTCCAAAAAAGCAGAGACTTCACTTTTTTTTTTTTTCATGTGGCATTTCTTTTTTGGTAGTATCTGAAGCACTGCTGGACGAAATGGCTAATTGTTTTGTAGACACTGTGCTTTAAGGTAGGGTCAACACCTTGTATTACACCTTCCCGTACTATGCACTACTTTTATCTTCCAGCAGAAATGAACTTGCTCTTTAATAATGAAAGGCGATGACTTAAAATCGTAATTGCTGTGTATGTGTACTTTTGTGTTTCCGAGTACTCAGAAATCATTTTTTTATTATTCCGTAGGGCTTTCCTACTAGAAAAACAGAAAAAATGTTCGATATTAAGGCTTGGGCTGAATACATCGTGGAGTGGGCTGCAAAGGACCCATATGGCTTTCTTACTACAGTGATCTTGGCCCTTACACCATTGTTCGTAATCAGTGCAGCACTTTCATGGAAGCTTGCAAAAATGATTGAGGCCAGGGAGCGAGAGCAAAAGAAGAAACAGAAACGCCAAGAGAATATTGCAAAAGCCAAACGAACGAAGAAGGATTAAATGGGGGGAAAATAAGAGGCCTTCCTTGGGCAAAGAATCCACTTTTTAAATGAAACACTTGTACATTTTGTGTGGTAACTGTCCTTTGATACTTGATCCTGTTATTTCTTGAAGTATGAAATTTAATCCCTTTAATGTATTTTCTCTGCTGAGATGATTTGCGTTCAAGTGACACGTTAGAGTCATTTAATCTACTACTTGTGTTCTAGTGCAGGCTGCTTTTCTAAATTTGCATGTTAAATTAAAAAATAATCTGTTGGGTGGCTCTGGAGGTAGATATTTTTTTTTTTTTTCCCCCCTTAGCTGAGCTATGACTTAGCAAGTCTCTTAAAAGTGTCTGATTATGGGGAAAATGTGAATGGTAAACTGGATTACAGAAAGGCTGGTTTTGGTATACGTTCAGCAGAGCTGAAGCATACCTTAACTAACTTCTTCAAGGACAGTGGGTATAGCCCTGAGGTTCATTCAGCTGTGTGACCAGAGGGCCTGCAGTAGTGTCCTTGAAGTTGGGGCTTGTCTGAAAAAGAACCTACCTTATCTTTTCTTGTTTGCTGAACTACTCGCCAGCAACAGACTTTAAATTCAGCCCGAACTGTAGGAAGCTGATTGTTCTTAGTACCTTCATTGGTCCACTCGTGTTCTACAAAATACACTAGTATGTTGTTCGTTTTTTCCCTAATGATCACGTGAACATGCCACCTGTAACTAATTTGTTTCTGTCTTCAGAAACTTTTTATGCCTCAAAGAATAGCCATAAATGGGATGAGACCAAAGCCCCAGGTGGCCTCATGTTCTGTGTCCTAGGGACCTATAGCAGGTGGCTGTGGGAAAGTACAGGAGGAGGATGTGCACGCTGGTGACAGTAGCTCTTCCTGCTTGCTATGAACTTCTGGCTACTTTTGATTTGGGACCTTTTGAGTTTAGGTGGGATCTTTGTTCTCATGGCCCTTGAAACACTGCTGCCTTCCAGGCTCCAAAATGCTGACACACTGGAAAACATCCAAGTGGCATTTGTGTTGTAAATATGCCAGAATTATTTAACCTTAATTCCAATTCATGTTATTCTAACAAGTGATTAATTTTTCAAAGCCTAATTTTTATTAATAGTCTAGTTCTAAAAGCTTGTGGCAGTCATTAAGTTTTTAGAGTTAGCGTATCTCTAAACAGCAGCACGGAGTCGTCCTTCCTAGCAGCTAGTCCTTCATAATATTTAAAAATAAAACCTTAAAATAATACCATTATGCAAATGAGGAGACCTATAGAGCTGGCTGACACCAAGGGGGATTAGAAATGGAGAGTCTAACTGACATGACTTAAAGTAAACATGAAGTATTGTTGGTCCCCTTTCAATATTTTTGGTCAAAGCAAGCATCATTAGAATATGACATTTCAGCATTTTATAAATACATGGGGTTAAGTCTTCACATTTTGTATCAAGTGTTGTCAAATTGTATGTGTTCCACCTTTGATAGCTACATAGCTGAAAACCCATGGAAGAGAACTTATGAAGGATGCACTGCATAAATAAATTTGATACTTTTTTCAAAAAATTTTGTGGTCTTTATTTTGACTTGGAGTTCTCAAACATCATCTCTAGATACACAGAACGTGCAGATTATTTGCTTAAACTGTGGCCAAAGAGATCTAATCATTTAGGGAAGTCTCCACATACACCAGAAATAAAAAAACATTTGTTTTTTTTTAATATTAATGACAGTCACTTGTCCCAAACCCTGTGTTATTTTCCAGCAGCTTGACCAAGTGCTTCTAACCTCTGTTATAGTAGTTACATGTAGTTTAAGTTGGACCGATTCTATCCTGTGCTTACTGCTAGCTGCAAAACAAACATTATTCACATATGGTGATAGTTTTCTTAAATCTAAATTGCAAGAATGTCTCTAAGATGAAGTAAGTGTAGGGTCATAGTGATGCCTGTTAATGAAATCAGCTTTTCAATCCACTTGCCAGAGGAAAGCACCCTGGTACTGCCAAGGGAATTAACAAGCATTCTGAAGAGCTATCTTAAACTGATGACTAGGGCTGGGAAAATTGAAGCCTACTGATTAACTGAAATTTATTGCATCAAAAATTTTTTAATATGTACATCTTAAAGGAAAAACAATTTACAATTCTTTAAGAAAATTAAATTAGCTTGAAAACCTACCTATGATTTCAAGAGTAACTAATGAACAACGGTCAAAACCAAACTTTAACACATCCTGTTTTTCACTAAACCCAAACGTTTTACAGTAGTTTGAAACAATTAAGCTTATTTGAACGGTTCTGCAAAAGTAAATGAAACTGCTTCAATATTACTTAACTGCACACTTGCTTATATATAACAGCTGTTTATGTTGTCTGTTAAAATACTTATCCATTAGCAGTACCGGCATGTTAGAATAATTTATTTTTTATTTGTTAATGACTACTACCACTGCCTGGTGGCATCCAGGAGCCCGGCTGAAAAGTACTCGCAGTGCTGGTTGGATCTGGCGAAGGCTCTTTCCTTCCATAGTAAGGGGCAGATGCGTGGCCTTTAACGTGAGTATGAGCTGGTTCAGCAACAAGTCCCTCCTTGTATTCCTTGGCCTGAAGCAGCTTATCCTTTTCTAATACATCTTGGATTTTCAGTTTAATTTCTTCTCTATAATTTTCATTCTTAAGAATCTCCTAAGAACAGAGTAGAAAGATAAATTAGATAAATCAGAAATAAGTGCAAGACACAATATTTGAATAAAACATTTTAAACCAGTGCTTTTTTCTTAATTTTATAATGCAAATTTTCAGGTATGTAGTAAAATAAAATGTGGCAAAATTAATAGTTTTTTTACAACTGCAATTTCAGCCCTAGTTTAGAATGTTCTTGATGTTTTGATCAGTTTGTTGAAGCAAAACTGCTTGTGGTGTCCCAGTTTCACTATTCTATTGGATCAAAAAGGAAAAGAAATTTAATACAGTCATCAACAAATGTGAAAATGCATTATGTATGTTAACTATAGGTATCTACTACCAGGTGTATTAGCTAAAATAAATGTACTGCATTCATAACAGGTACAAAATCTTACCTACTGCCCCTGCATAGGTAAAAAAAAAATTCAAATAAAAAGTCACCTAGTTTTAGCGGTTTACCTCCACCCCTGATGAAATGATTCACCTATTTGATGCCTGATCCCATTGCAAGGCCAAAAGGCCCACCCAGGATGTGTATTCAGAGAAGTTTCATACAGCTTGCTGATTCAACTTCATGAAGCTCTGTCCTGAAACTTGGCTGGGTACAGGTTAAAGGTAGAAATTCACTAATAAATATGACCTGAACAGGGGTTTGGCTGCTTCCACTGACATATGCTGAGGCTATCAGTTGAACCAAGTTACAATTACTGGTTTGTCCACAGGTATAACGGAAAACCAGCGGTTAGTAGACCTTGCCATCTTGTTCAGAGGAAAACACAAAGAACTCCCAAAGTAAACACAAAAATACTGAAGTTCATTTTTTTTCATCTGTTAGCCTATGTTTCCTGTCAGAAGGATGATTTGCAAATTCTGCTAACAAGACTTCTCTGCTTTTGTTAGGGCAGACAGTGAAGAGTATTAGAAACAAAAGCAGAAAACTGGTATGAATTTTTATAACACTTCAAACCTAAATACAAATTAACTGTAACCAACACCATGTAATTAGGAAGCTGTAATATCCACATTTAGACTGGGATACAGGAGGAAAAGACTGAACAGTTTCTCTAGATCACAATTGTATGGAAGAGCTAAGGAGAAACTAGACCAGTACACTTCTCTCTGGGCACAAGACCATGATATTATTTTAGGAATGGCATTATAATATATGTGGCATTGCCAAGAGGTGACATAGCAAGCAGGTGAACCTTTAAAAAGTCAGCATTTAAAGAACACCTTATCTTAGAGATATCATGAAAACTAACACCTTTTTCTTAGTCCTTAATTGCCTCTATACTTACATTCACAGATGCACAGAGCAGAAGTAAAACATTTCACGTATCTATATAGCATGAAAACACACAAGCAGCACACAACTGACTTTCCAAACTGAAGGGTGTGGAGGACAATTCTCCCACACTCAAATAAAAATACTGCCAAGCTAACAAAGTCAAATTTTGAACAGTCAGTATAGCAAAACCCCATTATAACATCTCTCAATTCTGTCCTTGTTGACCACGCGCCTGTAAAAATCTACCATGACCTTACTGATTTCAAGGGGATTACTCCTATCGTCCTTGTACTACCCCACTACTAAGAAACAAGGTCATATACCTTTGTAATATCTGAAGACTGCATCATAGTCTGCTGAAACAGCATGAAATTATTTATTAAAATATGGATGTAATTCACTTACTGTGAACAGCTACTTACTAACTTCAAATCTTTTCCAGTGAATACTTTAACATAGTTATCTTAGGTAACAGCAGCTATAACTGAATTCCAAATGCTCCGAGTCCATTTTAAATGTCGACGTATAATTGCCATCTGGTTTTCAGACTCAAGTAAGGCTCTTTTAATCAGCTTTCACTGGCCAAAGTGTAGCTGTGATCTGGTAAAATAACCATGTTGATCTTGAAAAAAGCATGAGGAATGATCCTCATTAGCAAACACAAAAAAAAAAAAAACAACCAAAACCAAAACCCACCCTGAAATGTCTTGTTCAGAATCTTCTATGCAATCCACACCAGGACAAAAAATTTTGACATTCATAGTATCTGCACACGTCCATTTTATGTACTAAATTAATGCCACTAACATGTCCACTGAAATCTGGTTCCTGTGCTCAAACTAAACAAAATGTGAATCAAAATGTGAATCAGCAATCTTGTATCAATTGGCACATTAGAAAAATATGTGAGTTTTCTTAGCAAAACATCTTGTCCTTTGATACTGGCAAGTTTGTTCTGTGGAATTCTCTCACAGGCACCGAGATCTTCCTGTTTCTAACATCATCACCAGCAAACACTTCACTCTCAGTTCTCACTAGAAGGCATACTTCCCAGACACACCTCCTGGTTCAACAGGGCCTCCTATCACCCGCTGAACCGTGGTAGAGAAGCCAACATCCACTGGGCTCTTCTACCCACAACAAGTAGTCTGTAAATCTGTGTGGCACCATCAACTCACCTGCACACAGCTACATTCTCGTTTTGAGGCTCCATTGCTAGCCAGTCCTTTACTGTCTGATATACTGTCAACAGTGACTGGGAGCTAAAATCAGGGGGTGGGGCGGGGGGGTTGGTGGGGTTTTGTTTGTTTGTTTGTTGTTTTGTTTTGTTTTGGTTTTTTTTTAAATTACATTGGCAGGCTCAGAACATTCAGAACATCTCTGCTCCTCCAAGGTGAATTGAAGTATCTTACAAAATGGCTAGCTTCACTACAAACTGCTCCCCAAAACGCACCATTTAAGTTTTCTGCTGCAATCTAAGAACATGAATACGTAGTGTGCTCTGACCTTTAGGGGAAATACAAAATCATTCCATCCAACATAGAGAACATGGTATTTACTAAGTAACTGCAGTTTTCTAAGGGTTAGCTTGTTCTTCCAACACTCTCTTCATACGAATAAATGATATAAGCCCTTCGAACGTGTAGTTGACAGGAGGCCCATGGCATCTAAAAAGTATCAGAAATGCCCTTCATTGTTCTTATTAAAAGAGAAACTGAAGGATTTGGATTACGCTGCAAAACCAAAAAAAAAAACCCCACCAAAACCAAAAAAAAAACCAAACAAAACCCAAACGAAAAACGCCTGAAGACATCCAGCCATTTTATACCAGTTAAAATCCTTACATGTCGAAGTTCACCTTGAAATGCATTTGGAATAAGATACACATGATGTGGCAGGAACTAGGTCCATCTACATGTCCTACAGTTTACTTTTAGGTGGAACGTGAAAGAGGAAGCTCTACTCACTGCAGGTAATTACTTGTCCAGCTTTGGTGATTATTTTAAGTTCTCTAAGGTTTTTAATCCTTCTAATGAGCTGCGTGCCTTCCCTCCTTAGAAAGACAGGGTTTAAGAAAGTGACCTCTATGGTTTTCTTGAAGAACCTAACAATATTATTAAGGAAATGCCAAAGTGGCGCTATGTGGTGTTTGAGGCAGCTGCCTTTCATCCAGAAACTGACTACTTCTGCATATTCTGACATCTTAGTAGTGGTAACAGCTGCACAAACAAAATGAAAGATGGCCTACTCATGGGCGCCATGCAGCCCAAGGCATGTTGCCATCTTCCAAGTGCGCTGCTGCAAAAGGGATCAGGCTGTATTTCATGCAACTGGCACAAAATTTCCACTTTTCTTGCAAACTGGATTTTTGTTTAAAGCTCTCACTTAACTCTGGCAGCTGAAATGTATCATCAAGCATCCTCTGCTGTTTGGAAACTCTATTCACCTCTACTCCCTGGAAGGAGAAGCATCTAGAAGTTTGTCTCTAGTAAGAAGATTTTCAGTGCCTACCAGGCTGTACTGGAAGACCTGCTTTGTGGGCTGAAGTTTTGGAACGGAGCGTTCTTTCAACTCTTAAAGGATCTCATATTGTTGCTGCTTTCTCTTTTCTGAATAAACTAGTAGCCTTAGAGAATAAATAAAACCAGTTCCTCCTGGTAGGAAAACGTCATAAATACAAAAGAGGTTTCTCCAGACTTGCTTATTCTTTCCGCTGGGGTCATGCTCAGTAGCGACTAGCATCTACTGAACACTTTTTGCTAATCTCCACAGGCAAATGTCTGTACTTAACCCTTTCTATCCTGCAGCACCTCCTGAACACCTCAATCGGAGGAACTCTTCCCTCCCCTTCCTCTTCCTTACTGTTTCCTCCTCAGTCCACAAGCCAGCCATCAGTTATAACTCCACTTGCATCTCATGGAGCACTTTAAATCTTTTGAAGGCAAAGGGCAACCCAAACTTGTAAAAAAGTAGCTCTAAGGATGCAGGTGGTTAGACATACAGTACCAATGTAACAATGTCCAAGAGGGATTGTTTAAAGGTTATTTTAACAGGCTGGTGCTTGTTTTGGTTTTATTCTTTCCAGCTGATTTTCTAAAGACACTATACCCAAACCTATAAATACAAGGGGTTTATGTATTATTAATTTTGAGCAAGATGTCATATTCATTTGTATTTTGTATTAAATTAAAAATAAATAGCTTCTTTATGCTGTCTTGAAAACTATTCCAATCTCCTAAGCCATCTTAATTACACATGTTGGAATACTCATGATTTCTCTTGATTCGAATAGGGTTAGCCAACTACTGTTTGATGCCAGACTGAGAAACATGGACAGATTAGTGCTCTTTGTTTGAGCTGCACACACACTACATATTCATAGAATGCTTCCATTTTAGTGTTTAGTTTGAATATTTTATGTTTAATCATGAATGAACTTGAACTTTTAACTCTGTTAAAAATTCATATATACAAGTTAGCAAAAATTTAAAAAAAACGACAAATGGAAAGGAAAAAAATCTGGTTTGGAACAGTGTTTTAAAAATTGATTGTTATATGACAATATAACACGTCAGAATTTTTTCTTCACTGTCAAACTATCTTAAAGTCCACCAAAGTGTTACAAGTTAAGCAAATTCACCTGTTTTATAGTATCACCAAACTGGTTAACTAAACTCCATTTTCGAGTCTGACAAGTTAAATAGGCAAGACAAAATAATTGATATTGCATCACATTTCAAGAGTAGGAGGCAGAGAGAGGACTTCATCACTGGGAAGCACTAAATGTTCTGATCAGGGCAGGTCTTATTAACTCAGCAACTGAGCATGAGCTCAGCAGTGCCAGGCTGGGAATAAGAAATAATGTGGTAGATGAGGGCTGTGTCAGTGCATGGCAAAACCAAGAGGAGCAGTTCGAATTAAAAAGGCATATCTGGCTTTGCTAAAATACTTATTTAAATCAACACTGAGCTAACTGACTGCTAATTTTGTAAAGAACATACGTGCAAAATATCTTTGGTCAATCAACAATCAACTTTTGTCAAAGATTTGCTTTATTCAAGTTTAGTTTTTGAGCAAATCTCTGATCAGTTGCAGTTTTAAAATACAGACTGTTTTGTGCATTCAATGTGGTGTTTTAGAAGAACGCACGCTGCATAATACCAAAGTAAACTGATGTGAATGATCTTTGTTGGCTACATCACAATTTATGGCATCTCTCATTGTCTAGGCTTTGTAGAACAGCTTTTTTCACCTTTGAACATAGAATCATAGAACAATTTCGGTTGTAAGAGACCTTCAAGATCATCAAGTCCAACCTTTGTCCTAGCTCTATCAACTCCACCGAAGATCAGATAAATTATCCAAACAGATTACTAAACTAACATAGCTGCTGTTTTAGAACATTTTTCCTTGCAACCTGCAGCAACCCCTTAAACATAAGCAGATACAGAAACGGACCTCTAAAGGTACC